GAAATTTGGGGGGTTTTCAGGGCTCAGGTTTTGTACTTTGCGATAAAGACGTTGAAGGAAACGGGATATGAAAATGTGTATGACGCCATTGAGAAGCCTCTCCAGCTTGCTCAGACTGCCGCCGTTCTCGAGGTCCGTCTTCCATGGATTTTCGTTTTGTTTTTCGCATTTTCCGAGTAATTAGTGAATATGAACTGATCAATTCTTGTTTTTCTGGAGCAGATTCTTCATGGATTAGTAGGTGAGTGATCTGATCCATTTACACTAGTTTTGAACTTAAAGATCATTGACTGATTTGTGTTATGCTTTGTCTCTATACTCGAATAGGTTTGGTTAGATCTCCTGTTTCTGCAACTCTGCCACAGATTGGTTCAAGGCTGTTTCTCACTTGGGGAATCCTATACAGTTTTCCAGAGGTTACTTACCAAGTTCAATTATTTCGCTTTGATGATTTCAATTTTCATCATTTGATCGTTTGATTTATGTTTCCATTTTTATATTCAGGTCAGATCTCATCTTCTAGTTTCGTCACTAGTCATAAGCTGGTCCATCACGGAGGTAATTATACTGTAGTCTTTGTTTTTCATTTTGTTCTAAGTGCGAGAGATTCACCAGTTTAATTTCTATGTCTTGAAGTTGAATCTGAAATGTCTAAACATTGCTTCTCTTCCTGATGCTCTAGAAGTTTCCTGTCATATGGATTGTTGAAGTAGAAAACAAGAGATTCGCTGTTATTGTTTCTAGCTGTTAAGTTTTGACTTAAACATGACTCCTCGAAATTAATTTGAGCCTCAGAGATCATTTCTTGCTGTTTACTCCATTTTGTTTGAAGTCTTGTCTTAGTAGATAGATCATAGATCCCTTGGAGGATCATGTGCTTCAGTTCATACGTTGAGCGAATAACCCGGTCTAAATCCTTGGATGATTGCTTAATATTGCAGATTATTCGCTACTCCTTCTTTGGTCTTAAGGAAGCTCTAGGCTTTGCACCTTCATGGCACTTGTGGCTCAGGTATGCAATTCATATGCAGAATGGTACACCTTGACAATGAATATTAAATATGTAAACCTGTTCTCATTTGTTCTTTTCTTTCGTTTAATCTTGTTCAGATACAGCAGCTTTTTGTTGCTGTACCCGACCGGTATCAGCAGTGAAGTAGGTCTTATCTACCTTGCATTACCACACATCAAGGTAACACAACAGCCTCATGTCAATTCTTAATAAAACGGCGAATTTGAACCATGAAGCCTTACTATATATGTTTCTGTTGGATAACTTTGATGTTATGTATAAAAGTTTTCGATTTTTAGTATATATATATAGTTGATTCCTGAATGGTCCCTTGGCTCTTTTTTCCCCCCTGCAGACATCTGAGATGTACAGCGTTAGGATGCCTAACTCATTGAACTTCTCATTCGACTACTTCTATGCAACGATACTCGTCCTTGCAATCTATGTCCCAGGCACAAACTCCATTGACCTTTCTTTAAGAACATATCCGATGAATCTGTTTGATTCTGATCTGTGAGACTAATTTTGCCTTTGGCTGTTGCAGGTAGTCCACACATGTACAGGTACATGCTTGGGCAGCGGAAGAGAGCTCTCTCCAAATCCAAGAAGGAATAAAAAAAGCTTTAGAAAAGAGACAAAAGAAAAGCTCATCCTCTTGTATTGTTCTTTTATGTACTTTCTCGTTTTAAGCCTTACTTTTTCTCTACTTCCTCGCCGATTATTTAAATTTTTGCAGGATACTGTTAAGTGTAATGCGATGTCTCTCTAATTAATACGAAAATTATTGTCTCCTTCTCACTTTGATCTTTTCGCATTTTGTCACCGTAGATTGATCTTCGTAAATAGTAGTAAATGAAAACGGAATCAAATAAAAAGTTAACTTGGCTAAAATTGCGGAAAGATTAGCTAAAATAATGTTTTGATATATCATGGCAAATTATAACGTAAAAAGGTCAACGAAGATGCTGTTAAAAGGAAAGTAGGAAACGTAGTGAGTAGTAGTTAGAATCATTGACATATCGAAGAACACGATAAGGCGTCGTGAATTAACACACAGCACAAAAAACATTTGTGTCTCTCAAAAAGCTTCGATTTTTATTTTCTCGAATTAAGAAAAACCAAAGTTGAGAATAAGTCCAAAAACGGCATCGTATGGCTTTCCATCAAAAGCACCTTCTCCACCTCTCATTTTTTTTTTTGTATAGCACACCGAGGGAAAAAATCCTCAGTGAGAATCCAAAAATTAAAAATCAAATCTTCATATCTGTGAAATTAAAAATCCTTTTTTTTTTCTTTCATTTTTGCTTCAATTTGTTGGTGGGTTGGAAATGAGCGATCAAAGGAGTAAAACCAATAGGTGGAACTGGGAGGTGAGTGGATTCGAACCGAGGAAGTCGTCTTCGAATGCATCCTTTGAGGAGACTAGTCACCGTACGACTGGTCCACTGGTTCGTCGGAACTCGATTTCCACGGCTTCTCTTCCGCCTCACTCCTCGTTGCTCCCGAAGAAGCAAGCGCTTGCTTCTAAGGTTAACGGATTAAAGGAGAAAGTTAAGGTGAAATGTCACTTCCTTTACACTCGCCACAAAGGA